CCTTTCACAGGGGTCGCCTAAGACCATCCTGCATATCAGATATTTACATTACGATTCATAACAGTAGCAACATTACAGTTATGAAGTAGCAACGAAAATAATTTTTTGGTTGGATCACAACATGAGGAACTGTATTTAAAGGGCCAGAAGGTTGAGAACCACTGTTCTAGAGAGTTGCCTGCCCCAGGAACTGGTCTGTTAATATTATCTGTGCCAGCTGCGTTGTGGCAATTGGATTAAGCTGGTTCAGATGTTGGCGCTTAGTACTGCTGAGCCCTCACTCTTCCCTCTGCTGCCTCTAACATGCAGCCCATCTCCATTAGGTCAAATTCTTTGGAAGCAATGGAGGGAAAGGAGGAGGACACACAGTGCATTTTCCCAAACAAATATCTGACAACCATACTGGATTTGTCAGACTCCTATGGACAATAAGTGGCAAATTCAACTTTAAAAATCTGCTTTTACCTTAAGAAATTATTAACGTTTCATAAGTTCTCTCTAATAAGTGGGCTTTGAGAAAGAATCATTTAAAAGTGATTGAAGTTTTGGGATCTGACAGTCCATTTTTATATCAAAAAATTTTTTTTCCTAAATGTTCAGAGATAATGTTATATTTTGGAGTTAATTAAGGCAACTTCTATGTAATTTTTCTCCTTTTAAGAGGAGAATGAAGGGGAGGAAGGTTATTGCTTCAAATTGGAATGGGACAGATCTGGTTGTGTGAACTTTGGCACATTATTTAACTTCCTCAAGACTTATTTTTCTTAATCTATAAAAGGGGAACAATAAAATTTATTTGCAAGGTTTACTTGAGGGATCAATTAAAAGACCTAGCACAGATTCTAGACCAGGGGTGGGCAAACTTTTTGACTCGAGGTCCACAATGGGTTCTTAAACTGGACCGGAGGGCTGGAACAAAAGCATGGATGGAGTGTTTGTGTGAACTAATATAAATTCAAAGTAAACATCATTACATAAAAGGGTACGGTCTTTTTTTTTTTTAGTTTTATTCATTTCAAACAGGCCGGATCCGACCCGTGGGCCGTAGTTTGCCCACGGCTGTTCTAGACCATAATAAGGACTCAATATCTATTAGTTGACTTTTAAATCCACAGTTTGGTCAGTTTCTGTAAATGTCACTTTTCAAAATAGTTATTTTTAATATGCTTAACATATTATAAAACAGCCCACATTTAGAATCCTAATATTAAGGATTCATGTTGTAAAATTGTGCAAAATTAATTTTACTGAGTGAGCCTTTTATGTTTTCAGTTAATAAAAGTCCATGTTTAGAGCCTGAGAGTCCTGTGAGTCTCTTAAACTGTGTTATGGGTAATTTTGCAGGATTTCCAGAAATTATGAATGTCAGTGGGAATTTCTAACTCTCGTTATTTAGAGCACAGCTCGATGAGATCTGTAATTAGTAGGTAACAGGTGAGGGTATTTTGGTCACCATCTGTGAAAGGTCTTGAAAGTGGGTAATGGAGTAAACCACTCTTGTAGCTACATTGCAAAGAAAGACTGCCGACAGTCATGGAATCTTAGAATTTTAGAGTTTTAAAAACTTACAGCTACTTTCAACTTCTCTAAAAACTCTTGTTCAAACTACTTTAAAAATAAAAAAAACAGTCTGTAGTATTGTAGTGTAACTGACTTTTATTGAAAATTGCTTTGTTTTATCCTAAAGAACCAAATGTTTGGAGGAACAGCTCTAATTGTCCTTGGTAGTGCTTACCTTTTGGGGGTAATTATGCACTGTCAGATGTTAGATCAGTTTTCTTATCACTAGCAATTCTTATGATTAAGCAGACAAGGAAAAAAAAAACATGAGCTACTCTTGTCTGTAATCTAGACAGTCATTTATTCATACACACACTTACCCATATGAATATCCTACAACAGTGATTTTCAACCTTTTTCATCCCATGGCACACACAAACGAAATACTAAAATTCTGCGGCACACCAAAAAATATATTTTTTTGCCAATCTGATAAAAAAAATAGGTATAATTTTTATTCATTCACACTGGATGGCTATTTTGTTTTGTCTGTTGTCATTTTTTTTTTATTTGACAATCTAGGGGAAAAGAGGTCAATGCCCCAGACTAAATAGGCAGGTATTGTTGCATGTTTGAAAAATTCTTGTGGCACACTAGTTGAAAAGTACTGTCCTAAAAGATACCCTTTTGAAAAACAGATTCAAATAGGGAAACTTTCATTTTCCTTTCATTCATTCAACAAATATTTAAGCACCTTCTGTATGCCAGGCATAGAGAGCATTCAAGGAAAATAAGCACCTGCCTCATCCTGACCTCTTAGCTCCCCACAGCCCCAACCTCAAAGGCCACCATAATATTAGTTTATTTTGTTTCTTTTCAGAAATATCCTGTGCATATACAGGAATATATTTGTGTGTATCTCACTATATTTTTAAATTCAAGCTATAGCATACTATAAATCTCACATCTTAGAGTATAGTCCATATCAGTCTAACTCATTTTCTTTTTCCTGCTGCATGGTATTACACTGTATGGTTGGATGATCATTCTGTTAGTACCCTTTGCTAGACATTTAACTAACTCCTAAGGGGTTTTCCATTTGTTTTTCTTCTGTTTTTGTGGCTTTGTCCTCCTTCTCTTGCCTTGCATGTCTTCTAATGCATCAGTTTCACTCCCTATCACTTCATCCTAATTATTCTGGGAGATGAGACTCAGCACACTCATGGAGACCCTCACCCTTGTATGTGCTTCCTACAGTTCCAGGTAAACTTGAGTAAGTTAAATTTACCCAATAGGCCCTTATCTTTTTATCCCACAGATTTCTTGTGATTAGCTTATGGTCATTGATCATGAAGCCAGCTGATAAACTTGTCTACCCCAGTATCCACTTCTTTAAATGGCAGGTAACTTGAGCAGTCAAGTGAGGTGATATCGCTTATGCTTTCATGTATTATTGTCACATATTATTTCAAGAGGACTTATGACTGAGGACAAAGTAGCCTTTCTTCCAGCTCTTCTTGCTGTAAATATTTTGTGCTCAATCAATTAAGAGTATGAACTAGAGCCCCGGCTGGTGTGTGCGTGGTGGTTAGACTATCGTCCTGTGCACTGAAGGGTTGCGGGTGTGATTCCTGGTCAGGGCACATTACCAGATTGTAGGTTCGATATCTGGTCGTGGTGCGTGGGTGAGGCAACGGACTGATATTTCTCTCTCTCCCTTTCTTGAATCAATGAAGAAACATTTCCTGGGGTGAGGATTTTTTTTAAAAAAAGAGTATAAACTAGATATAAGTGACCCAATGTTTTCTCTTCCTTCCTCACCCCGGATTGTTCTGTAGACCATTGTTATTGTTAATGCAGTTATTTAACCAAAAGCTATCAATAATTTTAAGCTTTCTGCAAAGCCTCACAATTCAAATTTAATATATTTATTTACAACTTCAGTACTTCTTCCAAAAAGATGAGATAAGCTTAAAATGAAAGACATTTAACTTTAAAGGCTATGAAAATAAATTTACAAAATAAATAACTTATAGAAGAAGAAGGAGCAAATGTAGCACCTCCATTTAGGTGACTGTTGCCAGGTGGTTGACCAAGCACTTTACCCATGACTTTGTGGTAGCAAAGCTAAATAGGAAAACAACAGATTATATAATTATCCTGTGTCAGTTTTCCAGACCATAGCACTCGTGATTTTCCTTCTTATTCTAATGCAAGCTACCATTTGAAATATGTTTTTAACATACTCTGTCTTCCCCAAACAGTGATTACTTTCTAAAATAAGTTGGTCAGTATACATTTCTTATTCCTATTATGGTACAATATGTTTATGCATTCTACTATTTTTTTAAATTTGAAAGTATAAACTTCAAAACATGTTATGCTCCAAAGGTTTTAGAAAAGGGATTATGGGCCTTTAATAGCCAACCACTAGAATAATGTAGGTACCCAGTGAGTTGGAGTGAAATGTGCCTAAAATGAGGTACTTAGAAATGGGAAACTTCTCTGCAGCCAGGCCTTACTACCTCGAGGCTTCAGGAATAAAATAGGTAATATAATACTTAGAAGCAGTGCATCAAAATGTTTCCGGAATTGTTTTCTTAGAGTAGCTGTAATTGGTCTCTAATCATATAATAAAGCCAGGGAGTGTGGGTGCTACTCTGTCAGGGCCCTAGGAGGTGCTTTTGTGTGATTTTGTGTGTTTTTTATGTTGTCCTATCTCTTTACCTATCACTTTGTATCGTTTTCTTTTCCCTCAACATTTTTTAAGGTGTCGCATCAACTTTTTTAATACTGGCGATTTAATTGCAAAAGCACACGTAAACAATTTGGAAGGTGTGAGAAAGAATTCACGAGTCACACGGGGAAACAGCAACAAAGCTGGCATTCAGTCTGAATGCGTTCGCTGTGCAACACAATCACACTACCAAGGGGTCAAATGGTGTGTCCTGAAATTGAGTGAAAAAATGAGTGCTACAAGAAACATTTGTTTCATACTGAAGATACAGAGGAAAATATCAAGATGAATTAAATATCAGCTTTACCCTCGCAAAGCTTAACTTTTATAGGGACAACCAGACATGTATATAAAATAAGTAAAATACACAGCAGAACAGACCAGAGGGAAGACCAGTAGCAGGACTGCAGCTCAGATCAGGACAGGATGGACTCAGTGGAGTAAAGATGAGCAGGACAGAGCCCTAGCTCTCCAGAGGCTCTGTTTAGTAATAGAGACACATAAACAGATAGATTATTATGAAAGGTGGCAAATGTTGTAATAGGGGCTGTGGACCCAGAGAGGAGAATAATAGTTGATCGTTGGGAAGGTGGGCAGGAGTTGACCTTTAGGCTGGATGCTGAAGAATGCGGGGCCTTGCTCAGAAGAGTAGGGGTGGTCTAGGAAAGCCTTAAGGCAGAGGAATTGATAAGATGCTTACTTGCACTCTCAACAACAGGACAGTTATACCAAGGTGACTTTTTACATTGTAATGTCATTGCAGGTGATCAGTCATGCCTTCTGGAACAATACAGAGTGGAAAAGGTTTGCAGACCAAGAGTCAGTTTAGGACCATTGCACCGAAAATTGTGTCCAAAGTCCTAACTTCCAGAGTGCTGTCGGGCCCTTCGCCATCACTCTCTGATCAGGTGAATCCAGGCCCCCCCATCAGCTCTACACCACTGGGGGTGCCTGCCCAAAATTATGCTCTGATGCAGGTTGCTGGCCAGAAGGGGACATTTTCTCTCGTGGCGTTGCCTCAGGTTGCCTCAATTCAGCCAGTCCAGAAACCCAGACTGCCCCTGCCTGAAAACCTTAAACTGCCTATTCCTCGATACCAACCCCCAAGAAATAACAAAGGATCAACAAAGAGCCCCATTTCGAGCTTCTCTGAACGTGGCTGTAGCAAACCTCCTGCCCAAACCCAAACGTCTCCTTCCCCACCTGGCTGTTCTGAGCCCCTGCCCCAGCCCAGTCCGTCCGAGCCAGTGCTGCCACCAGACCAGGCCCCAGCCAGCGTCAGCCCGGCTGCTCTGACCAGCGGAGGTGGCCCCGGAGACTCCCGACCTCCAGTGACCAGTGACTGTGGAGACGCGAACCTTCCTGACACCCCAACATCATCCGCACCAGAGGAGCCCTCTGCCAGGCAGGGCTTCATGAAGATTTCAGGGAAAGAAATCTTTGCAAGCAAAGAACCATCCAGTAAACCTGCTGCTGTTGCCAGTGAAAAACATAAAGAACAAGTTGACCTTGCAGAAGGCACAGTCAGGTTATCGACAGCCATTTGGGGTGGTTCACTCCAGTGGGTCCCCTCAGTCCCCAAAGGTAAACTGCCAATCTTACCCCCCATAAGTATGAAAACAACAGAGGTTTATAAAAGTGAGTCAGATGTTAACATTGTAGACTTTTCTTTACCTGGGCTCAGGGTGCACTGGGATAAGACATCCACCATCACCGAAGGCTTTGATGCAGCCACCAAAATGGCCAATAAGGTACCTGGTCCACAGGTGTCAAAGCAGAGTCTCTGTAAAAGTGCCTTTTGTCCAGCTACCAAACTGGATCTCAACCACAAAACAAAACTGAATGGCGGGGCAACAAAGAGAAAAGGAAGAAAACTAAAGGTACCAGATGAAATCTTGTCATTTCAGGGGAAAAGGAGGAAATGTAAAAGAATAAAAAATGATTCCCAGCAATCCAGAGACCAAAAACCTGGGGCTTTGAAAAAATATCGTAGCATTATGCCTAAACCTGTCATTGTCATGCCCGCTGTGGCTCCCTTGGGTTCTCCTGTAGCTATATTACCTTCCCAAAGGCCCAGCAGCCTAGGACAGGACAGTTTGTTAAATAATTCGCTCACTCCTAAATATCTCGGCTGTAAGCAGGACGACAGCCCTTCCCCTAAGCCCATCTCTGCATTCAGAAATGGATTCTCTGGCATTAAGAAGCCTTGGCACAGATGTCCTGTCTGTAACCACCACTTCCAGTTCAAGCAGCACCTTCGAGACCACATGAATACCCACACTAACAGAAGGCCTTACAGTTGTCGAATTTGTCGCAAGGCATACGTGCGTCCCGGCAGCCTGAGCGCACACATGAAACTTCATCACAGCGAGAACCGGCTGAAGAAACTTGTGTGCTGTGAATTTTGTGCAAAAGTGTTTGGTCATGTCAGAATCTATTTCGGCCATCTGAAAGAAGTGCATAGGGTTGTCATCAGCACCGAGCCCTCCCCCAGCGAACTGCAGCCAGGGGAACTGCCAAAGAACAGGGACAGGGATGCAAATGTGCAGAGGTGAGTGCTAATGGAATGAAAAATCTGGCAAGAAAGTCTGTTTGGATTTGGGGAGCAGGCTAAGATTTCATATTCAGAAAGATAAGTTCATAAAAACATCTCTCAGATTAAGATTTTATGAGGCTAGTTCTATGAAGAATAATCTCATTTCTTGTTGGTTTCTGATCACTCATGATTTATAATGATGGTAACCCTGGTAAGCCAGGCCACAAATTCCTGTTTGAGGTATGATGGAGACAATCAGGTGACAGACATTTTTTAACATTTCCTTTTAAAAAAAATTTATTTCAGAGAACGAGAGACAGAGAAACATTGATGTGAGAAACATTAATTGGTTGCCTCCCATAGTGGGGATCACCCTGACTGGGGATCGAACCCACAACCTGGGTATATGTCCCAACTGGGAATTGAACTGGCCACCTTTTGATGTATGGGGTGATGCTCCCACCAATTGAGCCACACCGGCCAGGATATAACAGATTATTTTTGTATCTGACATATGAAATATTAAATATTGTGTATAGTTCCTGGTATTCTTTACAAATAATTTCTCCAAAATGGTGTTCACAGAATTTACATCTGAACAGCATCAGTTGCCTCTTAACATCACATAACCCGTGGTGGCACCTCAGTGTGACCAGACCCTAAAGTGTCCAGACCTTTAACCCTCTACTTTTGTCCTATTTTTCCCTTCAGGCCAGATTAACTTTCTCCTGTGTCATTCCCATCTTCAGGTACTGCTCCTTAGCATTATAAACAAACAAGCTAAGTCATTCATAAGCCTGGCAGTCAGGGCTTTCTAAGAGCAATAAGTAAACCAGAGAAATGCTCTTATTTTGTCCACTGTCCACTATGACAGAGAACTGAATCCTCATTGGCCCCTTGGAAAGTAAACATTTTCCCACACTAGATTTTCTGCCCCTTGCATTGTTTTCCTGTAGTCCATTTTGATTTTTAGGTAAAATGTCCAAACCGTATTGGGTGTTCAAGGTGAGAGACGGCAGCGGTGGGTGGTGTGGGACAGTTACTGTCAACCAGACGCATGTTCCTGGAGAGCCTCACTTGCTACCGCCTGACTCTCACATTGGTGACACCCGTTCCTGTGGTCACCAAGGACTAGTTAGCTCCCCTTGGGAAGGAGCGTGTGGCCCCAAGCAGGAGCAGCAGTGGGGGTTCTGCAGCCTCTGCTGAAGGCCTTCCCATGCTCTCTCTGTCTTCCCACCCTTTGCGCTTCTCATCAGTGGGAGTGTTTTAGAACTTTGATGACTAAGAACTTAAAAGAGCAAAAGTTCCAATTCTGTTTTTCTATGCAATTTTACATTGACTGTTTCCCTCTTTTTCAGAGAAAACAAATCAAGCCTCGACGAAGACCTTCTCCTAAACCAGGCAGACGAAGTCAAATTACAAATCAAATGTGGCCGCTGTCAGATCACTGCCCAGTCCTTTGCTGAAATAAAGTTTCATTTACTTTATGTTCATGGAGAGGAAATTCAGGGCAGGCTGCAAGAGGAGATCTCCCCAGGAAGCCAAGCAGCTGGCGAAGAACTGGCTCAACATGCTGCTCCTTCCTGGAAACAGCATCCGGAAAGAAGAAAGCTGCCGCAGCACCGTCCCTCTGACGAGGAGGTGCATGCAGTTCCTACAATGACACGGCAACCCTACCTGCATCAGCAGAATGACAAGGAAATGCTCACAAAACATGAAGGAGCCCAGCTGAGACCCAGCAAGCCAGGAGAAGTCCCCCAGGGCCCTGCGAGTCCCAGCCCACACTCAGTTCTCCTTCAGTCCCCTTCCGGCTTTAACTGCATCCTTTGTACACAGACGCTTAGAAGGAAAGAAGAACTCCTCCTGCACTGGGAACAAGGGCACAATTGTGAGGACCCTCCAATGCTCTGGAGGATTCTACATGCACTCTCTAACCGGGGAGTGTCCGAACTTCCCAGCAAAACTGAAACATGAAAGACTGGGGCCAGAGAGGTTAAACAGAGTTTTGTATCACCTTTCTCTCAAAGTTCTTGTTTTATGGTGGTGCTTAATTATAAAAATCAAACAAGTTAGGATTAGCATTAATAAGTGGGAGTGATTTTGTACATAATTTTATTTTCTTATGAAATATATACCCTTGATGCATATATTCTAACCATATGCAGTTTTATTTTTAAATTCTGTGCACTAAATGTTAATGTCTTAGACTTTATTTCAGAATAAATAAAAAGATCAAAATTTGGAGATTGAAATTTAAAGGATTTTAGGCTGTTCTTCAAATATAGTTTTCAGTAAAAACGTGTGTTTGAGTGTGTGTTATGTGTCCTTTTGTTCAAATGTTTTCTATTTAAGTAGGTCCACAAATGTGAAAATTTCCAGATGACAAAATTATTTCCATCTCAACCATATTGCTATTTATCAAATTTTCTTGTTTATTTGAAAATATTATAGAGCAATGCATTTAATAAGATTCTCATCTTACAATTTAAAATTCATATTTTCAGGACTCATCTTTTTTAAAATTCTATTTTCCTAAAGGCACATTGCCTTGAAGATGAGATGTTGGTAAGTTTTATAGCTGTAGTGTTTTATATCAAAGTAATCAAAAAAATGTTAGTACTTTGGCTAAATCACTGTTTTCATAAAAAGTCATTTTTTAGGCCAGAAAATTTACAACCTGGAAAGCGAACTAGATAGTTCAGTCCAGATGTCTAGGTATCTCAGCTGCTTTCCCTCCCTCCTAAGTAACTTCAGAGGATTGTCACTAAATGATCAATTTTAGACACAACTGTGCCATTCAAGCCCGGGTTCTCTTTAAAAGTCAAGAGTAAATGATTGCCTCTTAAATTCCTGGGAAATTACCTCAAATCAGAAAAGTTGCCATTTGAAGTTTCTGGCCATCCTGGCTGCAAAATTATTTTCTTGAAATGGGGCAGTTAAGCCCTCATCCTACTAATATTCCAGCCTTTTAGATGAAAGCACTGTGCATGTGGCCAGCCCTCTCTGCCTGAAGCTTGGCCCAGGCATCAGCATCACATTTTTCCCTACTAACGGAAGATATTGAAACAGAGGAAGAACTAAGTTCTAATTGATAAGCTAGTGGGTCTTAAGTCATTTTTTTAATGCCTAATTTTAAAAGCAAGTGTCCATAGACACACTTTGGCCCAAATACTATGAAAAGGGAAATTCAATCATTCATGTTTTGCAAATAGTTTTATAAATTTGAGGATAAGAGGGTAGGAATGGAAATCTCTGAAAAAATAATACTGTGGTTTATCAACCGATTACACTCTACACAGTTTCAGAGAGATAATATTAGACCTCCACTTTTTGATATTTTTAGAACTGTGTTATTCATGAAACAGCTTAACCATTTAGTACATTACCTAGTTTGTTTGGTCTTAAAGACACTAAAAAGTGAGATCTACCTAGAATACTGTTTGAATTGAAACTGTAAAATAATTCATAGACTACTCAGTCCTCAGATACTAAGCAATATTTCCAAAATACCAGTTGGCCAAGGGCTGAGAAGTGGGTCTGGAGAATATATGGAGGTGAAGGTGTGGGGGCTAAAGGAAAATCTGAAGTTGCCAAGGTCATAGAGATGCCTGCCTGGCCATTTTTTATCTACATATTCTTACAGCAAGGCCAGACAGTGAGGCCATAGCCCACCTTTGGAAAGAAGTAGTGAGTTAGGAATGCAACAGAGAACAGAAGTCGGGAGATGTGATTGGCTCATGGTTAAGTGCTCTGGCTGGATCCCCTTCTCAATTGGGCACTGATCTATGGGGGCGGGGAGAGGGTTGGCTCTTTGTAAGAAAGCTCTTTGTAAGAGAGAAGGAAACTTGCAATGCAGAGGGGCCTCAATGCCTGTGTGTATGGATTCATTCAGAATAAAATGTTTGTTATAGTTCTCAGCTTCTAGAAGCACTCCCCTGTGTTACAATGGGAACAGCCCCAGTGCCAACTAAGATAAGGAGTTATCAGTAGCACTGCTTAACTGAGAGTGCTGGTAGGGGGTAAGAAGACAAGAGGGAGTAATTCAGCTAAAGTAACTTTGGGAAGCCAGTGAGTATTCATTGATACGCCTTCCTTGGGTGTAGACGTGTTGTTGGTGCAGTCCTAACCTGCATCCTGAACCCAAAGGAAGTGAGGTGTAGAAGTGCCCTGTGACCTTGAGAGTCACCTTCCTAATGCTCTAGTCCCTTGTCTGTGAAGTGAGTGTGATGAGCCTACCTCAAGGCATTGTTGCGAAGCGTAATTCAACACAAATGAAATGACTGCCACAGGTGGGCCACGTAGTAACTAGTGGCTAATATTTATTGTGCTTTTGGTCAGACTTGAAAGAAGAGGTCTGCTATACCATAGAAAGTCATTTAAAACAGCTCAGGTGTCCTTCAAGTCCAGAATTCAAGGATGAAAACTACTAGAACCACTAGAACCACAGATACTTGCATCTTTGTATAAAAAGTGTATTTTAATTCTTAAATAGTCAAATAGATTTGTATTGTATGGAGGTTTGGTAAGTGTCTAATCAATATAGAAAGCAAAGTTCACTAAATTATTTCTATTCCTGGCTCCACTTGGGTCTGGTGTTCCTCCCTGCGGCCCCCGTACTTTGCGGTCCTGTGGCCCTGACCTAGCTCATTACAGTGTCCACCCCAATGTCCTGAACATGACTGTGATCTTTACTGCTTCCCACAGTAGATCATATCCCTCTTGAGGACACGGACTATGTCTTTGTTCAGCACTAGCCCCACAGGGTCCGGCACATGATATGAAATAGTATTTGTTTCAATAAATATTTGTTTAAAAATGGATACATTAGCTAAATACAAACAAAATTGCCACTTCCCTTTTTATGAATAAATCTAGCTTTAAGAGCAATCAGACTTACAGTTAGAAAGGCATAGAGGCAAATTGGTCTTAAATTCAGTACATTCATTTTGTTTAATGTCTTGTGCTTCTTGGAAAATTGTCACAAAGCCAGCAAAATGAGATTTCCTTTTTCTTTTCTTCTGGCCCTACATTATTCCTGAAAGTTACAGCGTTTTAGATTTGTATTGTTTTATTAGCTGTCGTTTTTATTCATGTCCCCCTTTGTTTCTTTTTCTCTGGCCCTCTTCCTGGTTTAGCTTGACTACTCTCTGGTAAGCTGTTCCTCATATGGAAAGTTGTCTCTTCATCAGCACACCATAAATAATCAAACCTGGGCGCACTCCAGTGCCTTCTCTGGCTCCACATGCCCGCTCCCAGCTGCACAGCTCCAATTTTTTGTGGCCCCAGTGACATTGTTGGCAATAAATGCTCGACTTCATTTATTTATTAGAATTCTTATATCTGGACTCATTTGCTCCATTCAAGCTGCTGACATGCATTGTTAGGCACATAGTTTATAGTCTCCCCTTTTCACTGAACTCCTGATAAAAAGTACCCTGGTAAAGATGATTTAGCAGAACAGATTTTCAGTTTCAACTTTATACTGACTTTCCTGACCAGCAGCAGCTTATCTAGGCTTGTGGTGCTACACCAATATATATTTTAATGATACCCACCTCTTCATAAATGTTCCTTTTGGAGGTGAAATGTTTATTGTGTATCATATTTGGTCATGGTCATTGTTATCCCCATAAGAAACTGACTATAAGCACAGTTTTGCAAGCACATTTTAAATACTCTGAAGTGTGAAAATGTTTCAATGTGTTACCTAACCCTAGGAAAAAATCACTATCTATTGAAGGACACCAAATATGACAGCAAAAGAGAAGTTAAGATTACTTGTTCTAATTTTGATGTGAAGCTAAGCAAGCTTATTGGTTTATTTGTTTATTTAATGAAACTTGCTCCCATCTTCAAAATTGCCCACACCTCTTAGCCAGCCTAGCAGGAAAGAATTCACCTATAATAGGGTGGCAGCATTGCCTCTGTTAGTATGCTTCAAGGACAAAATTTCAAGCAGTTAGCATTAGAATAGGTCATTTTTGATAAATCAAACATCAACTAAATACTATTCAGAAAAGAAAAGATTTTACCTTCTGTCACTAAATATGAATTTAATCTCCACCAAGGAGTTGTGAGGAGACCACCAGCTGTTCTAGAGGCATTTGTAGAAACAGAGCAATGAACTTGATCTGGTTATGGCCCAAGTTGTAATGCAGATCTTACTACAAAAATTTGGCCATGGATGGGATCCAGGTGGCTCAAACACATGAGCTGCACAACCATCCCAAAGCTCTGACTGTATCTGGAAGTAATATTAAGAGTATGTTCTTAGGAAACTAAAAACTGCCTTTTCCTAGTCTAATCCAAATTAAAGCATAGTTAAATTTTTCATAGGACATTCATTGAAACAAGGAAATTTAAAATATCCAAGACTACTAAGTCTTTTCGATGGTGTTTATTCCTGCTGGAGGTGGTGGGTGGGGTGGGGAAAGCAGGAGGGCAGAAGTGCTGTGTCAAGACTGGGCATGAGGAACTTTGTGATGACAGAAGGCTCGATGGGGCTCTGTAAGAGTAGTAGGAATCCTGGCTTCAGTGTCCAAGCAGCAAAATACCATTAATATTTTGGAACAATCTCAATGGAGCAAACAAAATTTGACAATCTCTGTCAACCTAAAATGCACAGACATTTTGACCTAGGAACTCCACTTCTGAAATGTGTCGTGGAGACCTGAGCACACAAGTGCACAGCCACACATGAGGGCGTTCGCTGCAGCATGTCTACAGATGCCACGGACCGACATGCTTGCATGTCCCTGAGAGCAGGTTAAGGAAATTATAGTGTACTGTGTGCTGGAATACTGTACTGTAGTATAAAGTGAGAAAGATTGAAGTAGCACTTCGTGTGCTGAAACTATTCTGTGGAGGAAGCAAGGTGCAGAACAAAGTATAGTGTGCTCTCTCATTTGCTCTTTAGAATGGAGGAAGAAAGGGAGGGCGAGAAAGGACAGATGTGTGCTTGTATATTCATAGATGACTTCTGGAAGGTTGCTTCAGAAAGGGCAACTGGAAGATGGGGAAGGAAACACTCTTTTATTATTGGAATGTTTTGCTGC